GGGGGGCGGGGGCCTCCCGCCAGCCTCACGAGTCAGCCTGCCCGGGGACTGACCTGCCCACCGGCATGGCCACGTGCCACCCTTGGCAAGAGCCACGAAGGCGCCTCGTCAGGCCATCAAGCCGTCCGTCCCCCCAGGCCATCCCCGGGGACCTCTGAGGGGCTCCAGCCCCAGGGCAGGAACGCGCTGCTCAGAGCCCGGGGGCCGCATTCCCATTTGCCAAAGGCAAAGGGAGAGAGGCCCGCCTGCTTGAGCGGAAAGCTGCCGCTGCTGCAAGACGGTCATTAGGGAGGGAGTTCGACCTTTGGCGTGCTGGGGGGAGACTGCACGGAAGCCGGGAACCCCCCCCCCCCGCCTGGCCGAGGGATTCCCTCGCGACCCCACCAGGAAGTTGTGTGTGGGCATCCAGAGGGTGTTCCCGGCCCCGGACCAAGGACACCTCTCCACAGCCCATGTGCAGGCAGCCTCCTGCCAAGCCATGCCCCGGGTGCCTGCTGGCTCACAGACCTGTGAGGATGGCCGTGGCCGCCTCCTGCCGTTTGCCGGTCCACGATGGACCCCACACAGACGTCCTGCTCTAGCCAGCTGCGGCCAGTGGCCCCCTTCCCCATGAGTGGTCTAACCCGGGAGGGGCAGGGCAGTGTCTGGGCCCCGGTGCCCCCGGGCACATCGCTCGGCCTGCCCTGGTCCGGTCCCTCTCTGCCCAAGAGTCCCTCCCCACCTCTTGCAAGTTCAGTCCGGCATTTCCTGGCTACCTAGAAGTATCCCCCTCGCCTTTTCGCTCTCATAGTTGGGCTGCAGGAATATATTGTGCTTTGCTTGTCTTTTGAGCACCGTTTCAACCAAACATTTCAACTCAGTCCCAGAAATTCAGCCACAGAATAAAGAAAGGGGCAATGTTCTCCCCGTGCCCCAAGTTGGGCTGTCTTGGGGATTTCTTTCATGCTTGAAATATGCATCTCAGCAGCTGTACTGGGGAACCGCCACCCCCAGTTTTAGTCTGGTCATAGACTCCCAAAGCGATTTAAATAGAACTTAAACTTCAACAGATCGCTGAATTTAAATCCTTTAAATTTTTTCAGCGCTTTCATTCTTTTTCTCGAAAGTCGGCTCTTTCACAAGTGCGCACTTCCCTCATTACCATTCTCATTGCACTGCATTTATATCCCACCTTTTTTTCTCCTGGGAGGAATCGCATAGCTCCATTCTGTCCTCTCACCAGCGGCCCCATGAGCCACGTTGGCCTGAGAGCGCGTGCCTGGCCCAGGGAGCGCCATGGCCGAGCGGGACTGGAACCCGGGTCTCCCAGATCCTGGTCCGGCATTCTCACCACCCCTGCAAGGCTGCGTTCCAAGCCTCAGAACATCAGCAGCCCAAACAGCATTGGCGCCGGGAGGAGGCGGGCTCTAGGTATCCACAGGGTACTACGCAGGCCCTGTGCCACAAGGAATCCAGCAGGCCCAAGGACCTGTCTCCTGGCTTCCCAGGCTGGAGTGGAGAGGCTCGTCCAGAAGTCGGAGTTGGGGGTCCTTCCCCCGGGGGAGCCCCCACGCTGACGGGCCACCTGGTTTGTGAGAGACCTGCCTCTTGCTGGCGGCGTGTGCCCCGGATGCCTTTGTGGCTAGCTGCTCCCGGCTTTTGAAAGCCAGGTGGAAAAGCTTTGCAGGACCCAGGAGCAAATGAATGCCAGCAGCCCTCCCTTTGCCGTCAGAGGTGGGGTCCCCGGCTCGCAAGTCCAGCCGGCACCTCTCACTGCCTGCTCTTTGGTGGGCGTCCTGTGCTTGCCCCCCGCCCCCAAGCTCTGCCACCCATTTCCTCTGTCCTGTCTCCTGTAGAGCGAACACGCCGGTGAGCTGGCTGGGGAGGGTGAATACGTCAATCTGTACTCTTCCGGCCAAAGCAACGGGGAACTCCCTCTCTCTGAAGGAGTAAGTAGACCTGCAGGCACGGGCGGCACGGCCCTTTCGGGGGGCTGCATGCAGGCCACAGGGGGGCGACGTGCTCCGAGCAGGGCTCGGGGGCGGCGGGGAGTGGATGTGCCCATGGCTTCTGCCGGCATGCGGCGTCCGTCCTTCAGAAGTGGCTGTTCGTGCGGCCGCGCGTTTGCGGTCCTTTCCTCTCTCTGTGCCGCTGACCCAGCCGGCTCATCGCTCAGCCGAGCAGGGCACTCGTGTGGGGCGGATCAGGCCTTCAGCAGGGGCGCACCCCTCCCAGCCCACAAACCCGCGTGGAACAGGCGGAAATGGATAGCCAAAAATGCTTCATCACATTTACGACGAATGAGCCTCGTTCGTGAGGAGGGGGAGGAAGAGTTGCCGGCCTCCGGGTCACTGGGGAGGGCGTGTCCTGTCCACTTCACCGTGACGTGGGGGGGGCCGGCCCCACATCACCTAATCGGAAAAGAGGCCTCTGCCCCCAACCAGGCATGGGTCCAGCTCGCCCAGGATATCGGCCCTGCCGGGCAGCATGACTGGGCAGAACTGGGGGCGACAGGCGGGGACCCACGCAGCCCCTTCCGCTGGAGGAGGGGGGCTCGCTGGGGCCATCTCCTTCCTCTCACCTGTTTCTCCGGTGCACTTTTGTGGCTGGGCAATGGTGGGGGGGCACCGGTCGGCTTGGGTGGGTGATGGCAAGAAGCACGTGGCCGTCGTGGCATCGGCCTCTGGCAAGGGCAAGCTGCCCCACAGCCGTATCCTGCAGCTGCCGCAGTGGCTCTTGGGCTCTCTCCACCCCTCTCCCCGGGATTGGTCGCCCCCCTTCATGCTTCTTTTCTAGGCTTCCTTTCGGGGGAAGCTTTTTGGTGCATCCAAGCTCCCATGCGCACCCTTCACGCCGCGCTCGCAAAGGCCCTGTGCTCTCCCGTACCTGTTGAGGCAGAAGAACAGGCCATGCTGGCTGCGGAATGTGGGAACTGGGGCCGCTTCTCTGTCGGAACTTGCATGGGCCCTTCCCTTTTTTGCTTCCTATGTTGAATTGAGAGAACTGAGCAGCAGAAGAAATAGCCCACCCTCTCTGGGCTCAGAGCCGGCTGCAGCCGGGCTGCGCCTCTTCCTCCTCTGCCCAGGTTGCGTCTCCCCTGCCAGAGAGTGGGATCACTTGGCGGTCAGCGCCTGTCCCCTTCCCAGAGGAGGTCCCTCGGTAACGAGAGCGAGGCCTGGCGGCGCCATCCTCCCCAGGAAGTGAGCGCTTGGGCTTTGAGGGCTCTGAAGAGGTGCCATGTTCGTCGCCCCTTCTGAGAAAGTGTTGTCGAATGCTGCACCTTGCGGTACACGCCCGTTGCTGCCCGCCTCCCGCAGCCTCGTGTGCGTGTGCCTGGCGCACTCATGCTCCTGTGCCAGGCTGGCTTGGCCGGAGGGCACCTCTCTGCCCCGGGAGCCCCTCTGATGCTCACGGAGCACCGCGGAGGGGGCCTTCTGCAGGGTGTGGGTGCGGCATGTGACACGCGGCATGGCGTTCCCGGGGGGGGGGACAGGAGCAGCGACTCCGTGATGCCCCCCCACGGGTCCTTTCCTGGAGAGGTGCGGATGTTCCCCGGGCAGTCTTGGCCTTGTGCTCGTCGTCCCAGCTTGATTTCGGAAGGAGGTCGCGCCAGGCGTTCTGGTGTGGCGCCCCATTTGGACGCCGATCCTCCGTCTGAAGGTCGCAGCTGGACTAGCTCCAGCTCTGATGGACAGGCGTCACGGCAGTGCCGCAGCCGGACCGGGGCTCGCAGGCATCCAGCCCTGGCACTGCTGCGCTCGGCCGCCCCCTCTGAATGGCTCCTCGCTTCGCTGTGAGCCTCTCAGCGGCTGGGGGGAATGCGTTCTCCTGGAAGCAGTTCGGAAGGTGCTCTGGGGTGGATGGGTCTTGAATGGGCAGTCCAGAGCCGAAGGCCTGCTCCTGCTGCGGCGAAGGCCCCTAGGACCGGTTCATGGACCTGGATCGATGCAGCTGGCTGCTTTTTCGGGCTCTCTGTGGCAGCATGGCGAGGGGCAGTCACGGCACGGCAAAACCGACCCCTGCACTGGCCAGAGACGGCACACGTCTGCGGCGTGGATTCTTAGGAACCGTGGTGGGGCAAGTTCAAAGCATTGTGTGGAGGGGAAGCGCGTTTTGGAGCTGGGACCCGGCTGAGGCGAGCTTCGTTTCGAGCCTGTTCAGACGTCAACGACCATCTCCTAGCAAGCCTAACTCGATTAGCTCGCCAAGCATGTGAATATTCTCCTGAGCAGTGGCACAGCTTGGTCTGACCTCCACAGCCCTACAGTCACTACAGTCTCTAGCAACCCCTGCCTCCGGCAAGGAGAACCCGGGGTGTGTACACAAGCCGAGACTCACACGCAGTGGGGCGGCGCTGCCCAAAGTCCCCCTCTTGCCCAGCTGCGAGGGTCCCCGGGAGGTTCCTCTGCCGGTTGCGCTCGGCCCCTTCATCAGACGAGTTTAGAAACGGACTCAGACACGTCCTGCTTGGCGGCAAGGTTCTTCCTCGCGTGAGCTTCACTTCTCTGCCCCTGTGCAAAATGGCTGCAGTTCCATGACTGTTTGCCCAGCAGAAACCAGCCCTAGTGAGGAAACCAAGGTGGTGGGGGGTGTTGTGCACCGTGCTGGTTTATTTTTGGACTGTCGTCCCTCGTGTTGGCTTTCCCCTGGCTCCTGAGCCTTCCTGCTCGGAGGTGGCCTGCACCGACAGCCCTCGTCCACTAGGGGGAGGCGCACCACGTGGCTTGACGGGAGGGGCTTGAGAGGTGTGGGGGGCAGGTACCTCCCATGCCTGATGGCACATAGGTGGGCTGGAGTGGGCTTGGGCATCAGGGCCGGCAGTGAAAGAATTTCCAAGCTTGACGGAAAAGACCTGCTCTCTCCCGCCCAGTTACGGCGTATCATACTAATAGCTTTTCCTTCCTGCGGAGACCCTGACACGGACGCTGGGAGCTGATGCCCCAGTTTGGGGAGGGGGGTGACTTGCCCCGAACCAGGGATGCCCAACCTTTCTGGCTCTGGGGGCCGCATGGGGGGGTGCTGGGGAACATGCACATCTGTAGCTGGAAGATGAGGGACGGCATTCCTGGGATTGCTGGCAGTTAAGGAAGGGATTCCCTCGCTAGCACTTTCGGGGGCTGCGGGTGTACGGTGTGCTGGCCGGGAGTCTAGCGGGCACCCAAACTGGCCTGAGTGGGTGGCACATCTTGCACCCTGGTCCTTTCTGGAAGGTTCTGTAGGTGCCCCTCGAGCCCTGCTGTGCTCGGGAAAATCGCATCTCCCCCATTTCCTGGCATTTAGAATCCACTTGAAAAGAGGTCATTGCTGTTTGCCCAGAGCTGTTCTGCAGCTCGCTGGATATGTTACGGTGGCCAGTGCATGTGCTTTGAGCCGGCCATTCTTTGGGCTGGTCCCAGTCCAGCGCTCAGTCCTCCACTGTGGGGAGAGCGGCTGAAGGGCGCATTCAGGTGCAGCCCGTCCTGGCGCTCTCTGTTTCCCCCTGTCGTGAAGTTGCGCGCTTTGGGCCACGATGTCAGGCGTCCACATACTCCCGGCGGCATTCGCGTGGGGGTCCTCTGAGAATCTGCCGATACGGATCCGTGTCCCGAGTGGATGACGGAAGGCGCGTCTGTCTTTCCCAGGAATCCCCAGCCAGCAAAGACGGTCAGGACAAGGACTCCGCCTCTCTGAGCAGCGCCCCAGGGAAGGAGAGCTACGACGAGAGCGAAAGGTGTGCCTCTCCCCTCCCACCCCCGCTTCCCGGCTCCTTGTGAAGAGCTTCCTGCACCCGGAGCAGCAGATCGGAGGCTCGGGGACCCACCGAGCTCCTTGTGCGGGCGAACTGATCGTGGCGACTGCAGGACCAAGAAGGCCTCCTGCTGCACCAGAGCAGAGACGGGACCTCCACCGCCTCATCCCCGGCTGCACGGCCTCAGCCGCAAGGACCAGATCCAGGCCCCCCGCAGCCCCTGCATGGCCAGGCCCCCTTCCCCGGGCCCCCTCCCTCTCCTGACTGCCAGTGGTCGGTGTTTTGCTGGGCTTGGTGCACTTGTTCCTAAATTGTTCCAAGAGCGTCAAGCCGCAGTGAGCCGGGGAGCCGTTGCTTGGGCCCTCACGCCTATCCCCCAGTGGGACACGGGCCCCAGAATCTCTGCGGGCACAGTGCAGCTGTGGGGGAAGAGAGGCTCAGCATCCATGAGGCCAAGGATGTTTTCCCAGCTTTGGTAAAAGCTGCTGTTTTCCCGAGGAGCCTGAAAAGACCACACAAAATGGACTCATCCCTTCCTACCTTCTGCTCACCCATCCTGTCCTGTCCTTGTGAGTTCCTGCCTCTCTTTCTCCCCTGCATCATACCCCACTCATTACCAAAATGTGGACTGTAAGCTCCTTGGGGCAGGGGATCATTTTTTGGTTATGCTTGTTTGAAGTGCCATCTGCTCTGAGGAATAGAAACGGGGGGGGGGGGGGGTGGCGGCGATGGCAATGGCTCCTTTCACAAGAGGGGCCCAGCCGAACGCTTTCCGTTTCTTCCCGTCTTCTCGTTCCACCCCCAGGCCACAGAAGTCACCAGAATCCGTGGGGCCCTCCCAGCTGGAAGAGGAAGTGGATGAGCTGTCCCTGGTTGACCACAATGAAATCATGGCCAGACTTACACTGAAGCAGGAGGTGCGTATCTTCTCCTCTCCTCCCCGGCCCACACCCACCTGTGTTGCTCCCATATACCGCTTCACTGGTGCTTGAATCAAACTGGATCGAACGAACCTTCGAATTCTGCCGCGGTGCCGAGTTGGAAGGGGCCAGAGGGCCACTGGTCGCACGGCCTGCTCCGTGCAGGGCACCAGGTTAACCTTGCCCTCTCGGAAAAGACAGTGAGTGTCAGAAGCTGAGCGAAACCTCTCTGGCACTGAGCAAACAACTGAACACCCTTCTTTAAAATTCCAAGGGATTCTAGATCTCATGCTTTTTAAAAGCGTTCAGAGAGTCCCAAAGGAAGCTGGAAATAGGCGTCTAGGCACTTCACCACCCATGGGCACTCCACAGCTCCTGTCACTGCGGCTGGTGCCGACTTCCTTTTCTTGCAAGCCACCCTGGAGGCCGGTTGTCATGCAGAGGGCAGAATATTCATATCTTTTAAATAAATAGCCGGCAAAAATGCCATCAGGCACAAATGCTTTTTAAGCCCTCACTAGCTAGAAAGTTGAATTTCTAAATGGATGCGGCTCTTAAGAACGTCCTCATCCTCATGCATTTTACGTGTCCCTTCCCACCGGGGCCAATAGCGCCAGATAAGTGCTTGCACTCAGCCCAGCGCTTTCCCTCCCTCGCCCCTTTTCATGGGTCTGGGGAAGGGGCACACGGGCTTCTCGCGCAACTGAGCTCTTCCGCGTCCGCGTGAGAACAAGCTGAGCCGCTCGTCTGCCAGGCAGCCACGCTCGCTCGTTATCTCCGGGCTTCAGGGAATACACCAGGCTTTGAAGCCTTCGGGCTCCCGAGAGGTCCTGCCTGGAAGCCAGGACAATCTGCCCCTTGCTTGGGAGGGGCGGCTTGAGCCAGCCTGGACCCGCCAGCAGGCAGGCAAGAGCCGTTAGTCACCGCGTGAGTGGAATTCCAGGCACCTCGCCAGAGGAATACCTCCGTCACTGCATTGGGCACATAAATCCTCGGAGGCGCTGTGCGCCTCGGGCCCCCGGCAGTCTTGCAGCGGCGGCCCAGGCGCCATTTTGACCTCTGCTGCCTGAGCGTGTGCATTGTGTGTGGTTTGCACTGCCCGCTCTTCTTGGACGTCCTGCCATGCCCAGCCTTGCGCAGCTGCTCCGGCAGCCTCCGGCTCTCCTGCCGTGCTGTCGCAGAGCAGCAGTCCTGCCCGGCCCGGCCCGGCCCAGGGCTGGCGACCTTTTGCGTGGTCAGAGCCGGCCTCCACGCTCAGCGGCATCTTGCAGGGTGCAGGATAACCCCTTCGCGGGCTCGGTTCAGAGAGCTCCATGGCCAGTGTTCCTCAGCTGTTGGCCACTGTCCAGCACCCGCGGAGGGCGAGAAGTGCAGGAAGACTCGTGTATTCAGTTATGTGCCACATTTACACCCTGCCTTTTCTCCTGCAAGGACCCCCGTGGTGGCTTGTGTGGCCTTCCTCCTCTCCCTCGACCTCTCCACTTCAGCCTCGCAACTCCTCTGCCGGGTCGGTCAGGCTGAAAGGCCGTGACCGGCCCCAAGACGCTCCTGGGAAGCTCCAAGGCCGAGTGGGGACTAGAAGCCAGCTCTCCAAAGTCCCGGTCCGCTGACCGCTATGCCATACTGCTTTCGTGGCCCATCCGTGGGCTTCCCAGCAGCATTCAGTCGCCCTCAGCTGGAGACAGCATGCTGGTCTAGATGGGAAGCCTGTGACCCCAGACCTGCTGGCAGGGGCCCCTGGACACTGTGGCCCTCTGGGGGCCCCGTGGGCTTTCCGAGCACGCCCTCTGTCCTTCCCTCTGCCAGAAACCCTTGCCTGTGTCCCCGCGATTTGTGCCGTGTGAGGGAGTGGAGGGTGCCGCCTGACCCCTGGAAGGCATAAATTCTCCTCCTCGTCAGGAGCCTTGGAGTTCGCTGTTTTCTGCTCACTTGGCTTCAGCACTGCAAAAACAGCTTTGCGCCAGAGGCCATCCGGAGCACACAGCAAGCCCGGGCCTTTACCTGCCGGCTCTTGACTCGGCTTGCTCCCCGATCCCACACGCTGCAAGGAATGTTGGAATAGGACATGCATCTCTCTAGCCGCAGCTAAATGCGGGTGGGGGGGGTTCCCGATGGAAGCTGCCAGGTGCGTAATCTCCTTTGGGATTTTTCCCCTCCCCCCCCACTACAGGGAGACGACGGACCTGATGTGCGCGGGGGGTCGGGGAACATTCTCCTGGTACATGCAACGGAGACCGACAGGAAAGGTATTGTGCTGGGGGCTGGGGGGGCATATTCCGCCACTGATGCACGGATTCAGTGCATTGCAGGTTGGATTAACCAGCTTGCGAGAAGGAGAATGCAAAGCTTTAGTCAGACAAAAGATCATCTGGATAAGCTCTTGTAGCATCCGCAGTTGTACTTACGTGTGGCTGGCTGGGTGCAACCTTCACGTGCCCATTCGCAGTCGCTTGATCGGTGCTGTATTTGTTTTCTTTCTTGGGGCCTTTCCCCCCGGCTTCTTATTAATCTTTTCTATCAGTGACTTTGACAATGGCTGTTTCTTAAGAGCTTAACATTTAACTGAATGGCATTCAAAATAGCAGCTTAAAAATCGAAGGTGGTGGCACGATGCCATGGTGAGAAAAGATGCCCGCCCTTCGGTAGATTGGGTTGATGGTGTAACAGAAATAGGGCAGCGGCAGAGAAACCCTTTTGGTGGGTGAAGCCGAGCTGTGTCCTGAGCACGTTCGCCTTCACAGCAGCCTTCTCAGGCGGGGCAGCCAAGTGGCCTGCGGGTGAAGCTTCGGATGGCCCTTTCAGATCCAAGTGGGCACTTCCACCTTTCTGCTCTGTGTCTTTCCTCCACCAGTTTTCCTTTCCCGGCTTCTCTTTTCAGCCCTGTAAACCGTTTCTACTTCTGCCCTCTTCTTTTGACTGCTCTCTTCCTGTTTCAAGGTCCTGTTGCTTCCTTCCTTCCTTCCGTCCGTCCGTCCTTGGTTAGCCCCTCTTCTAAATGCTCTCTGGGATCAGAGCTACTTAGCCCTTGCCTGAGAACTAACCTTTTATCCTTCCCTCCCTTCTCTAGCATTAGGGCAGATCAGGAAATCTGGGGGAGGTTGCCTTAAATTAGTCCTTTTAAATTGGCCCTCTGGGCTGTTTTTTCCCTGTTGGGAGAAGAGGTTCAGCCCCTTAAGCGTTCTGCCACCACCCCCGTCATTCCCCCTGGGAGAGCCCAGCTGTTAACACCTGTCTGGCCTAAAGCTGCAGCTGTGCTCTCTGAAAAGACGCTGCCCCCTCCGGACTGGAGCGAGACTCGGGCTCGAGGCCCAACGCTCTGTGTCCCCTGGCCCACTTGGCCATGCAGAAACTTTGGGAAGCTTCGCCCCCCCCCCCCCCCAGCACATTTCCTGCCAGGTTGGGGAGCTAAAGCCTGGCCAGCAGCGTCAGCCACCCATGGCCTTCTCAGGCACATGGGAATCCAGATTTCAGCCAGAACTCCCACTCCGCTTTCATGGGAGTTGTGGAGGCAGCACAGGCGGATTACGGGAGACGTGCCATCTAATAGGAGTCTGTTGACCGTTGCCTCTCGGTCCAGGGGTGTGGTCTGTTTGCATGGTGCTTTTGAGGGTCGAAAGCATTCACAACAGCCCTGTAAGGCAGGCGGGGGCAACTGCAGGCATTTGGGCCCTGGTGTCCTGCCCCGAGACCCCACGGTGGCGGCACCCCTGCTCCCCTCACAGCGATCCAAACGGGGGAGGTTGGTGTCTGTGGAGGCTCAGCTGGGCCACAGCGAGAGTGACAGAGGCTCTGCTAAGCACCTTCGAGCGACGGTTTGCCGCCGGATTTCGGCAACAAACTGCCGAGGCTGCAGCTGCCGACTTTGGGCAGTCCAGGGGCCGCTGCCAGGGCACCTGCTGGAGGTGGCACTCCCCGAGGCCGCAAGGCGTTAGTGCCGCAGCCCATTCCCTAAGGTCGGGCGTCCTGGTTTGCCACAGACCAGGCAGTCGGGGGGCAGTCAGAATGCCAGAGGAGCAGGGGGCGTGCGAGGCCAGGTCTCGGTCCCAACGCCCAAACGCGCTGCACATGGTTACGCGAGAGGAGAGCCCCTGGGCTTCTCTCAGCAGACGGCTGACGAGCGCATGGCCGTTTTCCTTCCCTCCCTCTTTGTCCATGCCAGATCTGGTGCTCTACTGTGAAGCCTTTTTGACGACGTACCGAACTTTCATCACCCCCGAAGAACTCATCAAAAAGTTGCAATACAGATATCCTTTCGGATGCCCGGGACGTCCCCCCACACGGGCCTGGCAGGCTGCCCACACTCCTCCTGGGAGCCCTGTGGCCCTCGCCATGCTGGCACCATGCCCACGTTTCTCTTCTGGATTCCCCTCCAGGGGCAAGTCCTGCTTCTTGGCTCCCAGGGCAGGGTTCCGCCACTCGGTGCAGGACAGACACAGCCCTTTGCAGGGCGCAGGGTGTCCCAGGGCACAGCCGGTCGGGGTGCAGGACCCTCTCAGGCACAGGAAGGCGGGGTTCTTTCCCGGGAAGCTCACCCTATTCCAGTGATGAGAAGTAACCTGGGTGGGGCAAAGGGAAATGATGCTCTTAGGACTACTGACTGTGCTGGAGAGACTGTGCATTTGCTGTTTGGGGACTGGGAAGAGGCTACAGAAAGCCGGAAAACCAGCAGCGAGTGCAGCCGTGGGAAGGGAGCACAGGCAGCTCTGGAAGGCCGCTGCCCTGCCCCAGGATCTCTGCATGTAGACCTGGCCCTTCAGAACTGCGAGGAACGATCCTTCCCTTTCCATCCCAAAATTACATCCTCACCCCCTTTTTCTCCGAGGCAGGGTATGTTTTTCATTGCTCAGGCCCTCCACGTGGGGAGGTGCCTTGCAGGTTTCCACACATGTGCTGTGGAAGAGAGTTTGGAGAGCTGGTGCAGCCCCCACGCCGCCCTCCTGGCAGCTGATGGCAGGAGAGACTTTGATTTCCGCCAGAAGCTGTAAATCTAGAAAGCAGTAGCCAAACTGCTCGAGACAGACAGACAGACAGACAGACAGACAGAAGCCCAAGCCACTGCGCTGCACGTCTGTTTCTCAATCCCCTTGTAGAACTGTGGTGCAGCTTCCTGTATTCTGGGATTAGTTCCACCAGTTTTAAGGCAGCCCTCTGTGCCCGAAGCAAGTGGGACTGGAATGGGGCAGCCAGGGGTGGGCAGCCGGGGTGCAGAGTGCCTGCCGGGGGTGGGGTGTCGGAGCCCTGGTGGAGAGGGGAAAGGGGTGGCAGGTTCCGGGTGGGAGGAGGCAGCGAGGGTGACTCCCGCGGGCTGGTGAAGAAACGGAGGAAGAAAGGAGGGCTTGAGAGGGTGCCCCTCTCAGAACCTTGAAGAAGGGCAGACACAGGCCTGACCGGGAAACTGTGCAAGCCGTCCGGGGAACCCGACTGGGGGTGCATTGCAGGGCCAGAACTGAGACGGGCCGGGCGACTGTCTTGCTGTCTCCGCAAAGGGCCGCAGGTCTGGGGATGGTGGGCGTCGAAGCGAGCGGGGGCCGTTGTCCTCTATCTGCCGTTCGGGGCCTTGGCCTTGGACACCCGCCTGGCCTGGGCAGAAGTGCCGCCCTTGTGTCCCTTCAGTTGGCCTTTGCAGCCCCTTTGCCTCTTTAACTCCCCCCAACATATGAGAAATTCTGCCACTGTCCAGACAACTTTAAGAAGCGGGTCAGCAAAAACACGTTCTTCGTCCTGGTCCGGGTGGTGGATGAGCTGTGGTGAGTCGAAGCGTCGAGGGGCCTTTATCAGAATTTAACTCTCTGTGAAGCAAGCGCGTGTTTGACCAGCGCATGTGTTGTTACATGTGCAGAGTTTTGCAACAGGGAATTGATCAGATTTAGTGGCTTACTAGTCCCGGTGCTTCTATGCTGGTTAAGTATCCAGGGCAGTATGCCCATGTGCACCAGTTGCTGGGGAACATGGGTGGGGAGGTACTGTTTCCTTCATGCCCTGCTTGGGGTTTCCTGTGAGCAGCTGGTTGACCACTGAGAGAACATAAATCTGGGCTGGATCCTGCATGGCTCCTGTTATGTTTTTCTGCAGTCATGAGGACTAGTAACAGGCTTTACTTTAAAAAAAGCAAAAGAAATAAAAGCTCACATTCTCAGGAGACAGAACGTTATGTGGAATACTGAGTAGGCTCGTTGATGAGTGAAGTGCCCTGATTTTAAAAGAAAAGAAAATGAATGTATTATTTCTTGGGTGGGGTGGAAACTCTCCGGGCTGTCTTCCTCAGCTTGGTGGAGCTGACAGAGGAGATCCTCAAGCTACTGATGGACCTGGTGTTCCACCTGGTCTGCAACGGGGAGCTCAGCCTCGCAAGGGTCTTGCGGAAAAACATCCTCGACAAAGTAGATCAGAAGAAAATGCTGCGATACACCAACTCGATCAAACCTCTCGCCGCCCGCTGGGTGGCAGCCAGGTGAGCAGAGGGACAGCCCACACCTGCACCCACCCAAACCACAGGAAGGTTCTGGCTTTCTGGGCATCTGTGGGGAGGAGGTAAGAATTAGATGGCTGAAATGCGGGGCGTTCTGGGCCATCCAGGAGTGCGTGAGACTGACACCATTTGGGCTCAGAGTTCTTCGTGATTTTACACCAGGTTTAAAATTTCTGGGGTCTTAGGATCCGCGAAGCCCACATATATAAAACCTGTCTCTACAGTCAAACCTGTGGTGGTTTACAAAAGAAGAGAACAGATCCTCAAATGTTGCAAGTCTGAAGTCTGCCCACCACTCCCTTAAAGGAGGGCCATGTAGGTTCAAACCTGTCTCTCTCATCAAAGGAGCTAGGAACTTGTGGGTGAGGTTTGCAAAGGAGGAAAACGAAGAAATTCAAGAGGGTGAATTACAGACCAAGCATGTAATTCCTTGCCCCCTTTTCTTCTTCCTCTTACTTCCAGGCCAGGGACCCTCCACGATTTCCATAGCCACGAGATAGCGGAGCAGTTGACCCTCCTGGACGCAGAGCTGTTCTACAAGATTGAGGTATGTCCATTCTTGGAATTCTAGGAACTGCCCTTGATTGCCGGGCCCCCGGTCAGTGTTCATCCCGTTGAAACCAAACAAAGAATGCAATGTAAAAACCACGCAGTTTATTAATTGTCAGCTGGAAACCCAAAGAGCAATCAAACCAGTTTAACATCTTAAACCAGGTTTGAAACCATTTCAAACTGCCTCAGAACAGTGAACTAGTGGGGGATCAGTATGGAAACTGATATAAGAAAACCCCATCTGGTATTGAGAAGATGACGGCATGAGTGCCAGGCAGGCCTTCCTAGGGAGATCACAGCAGAACTGGGAGGCCACCCCGAAGAAGGCCCTGCCCCTCGTTTCCTCCTTCCAGCCTTCTCCAGAGGTGGCTCTTGGAGCACGCGAGGACAGAGGTGGGACGTTTTAGCTTGATGCCAACAAGAAAATCCAGCCGGCACTCGCTCGCTCTCCTGTGGGAGGCCATGTCAGAGTCGCGGCACCGTCACAGAGCCGTCTCATGGGCACGCTTCGCCTGCCGTTTACCCCACGTGTGCCGGTGCTTCTGGTGCTTGCGGCAAACCATTTGGTCAGCACTGGCCTGCATTTCTGCTTCTCCCCCACTCAGATTCCCGAAGTCTTGCTGTGGGCGAAAGAGCAGAACGAAGAGAAAAGCCCCAACCTGACCCAGTTCACTGAGCACTTTAATAACATGTCTTACTGGTAAGAGAGAATGGCAGATCTTGCTCCTTGTTTGTTGATTTTGTTTCCTTCTTCACATTTATGCACCGCTCGCATCGCTCTTCGGGCCTCTCTGGGCGGTGCATGGCTCAGAAAGGCCAGGTTGCCTGTGCCGTCCTTGCAGCTCCGCTCCGGCGATTGCTTTCGGGGTGGGGGCCGCTTGTCAATACAATGGTGTGTCCTTTGTTTGGTGCATGACCCAGGCAAGTGATCCGGAGCAGCACAGCAGAGGGCTAGAACAGATCCTCTGCCCTTGGCTCCTATTTTGGGCACCTGCTGGACCCTGGCTCCTATTTTGGGCACCTATTTTGCGCTCCAGGACCCAAAACAAACACGGCTGCCAGGGAAAAGGCCCATCGCCTCCAAGACCTTCAGGCCCGGGGGCCCAGTCCAGCCCGTTGTGACCCAGTTTGGCTGCCCGAGAAGGCCGTGCCCGCATCGCCGGCCCCAGCATCTCAGTCTTAGGAGCTCCAGGGCGGTGGCAGCTGCAGTTTAATTTGCAGTTAATTTGGCCCCGCTGAATTTGGCCCCACAAAAGGGAAATGGCTTTGGGCTATTTCAGGAGAGGGAGGAAAAATGCTTGCCACTGTTTGTTGCCGTCGTGGTGAATGTATGACGCTCATTCCCCTCCGTATGGTCTATGAATCCACTAGAGCGCTGGGCAGGTCGCTCGGGGTTGGAGTATCTCTCGTCTGCTCGGAGAGGAGCGCTGCTAATCTTAGCAATAGCAGCTTAGCTCCCGCTGGGTGGGAGGCTCTCAGGCTTCCCCCAAAACCCATTCCAGTTTGGGCAGAAGCGAACAGCTTCTTGCAATGTTCTCTCTCAGAAGAGACAAACTCTGCAGGGCGAGCATCACCGGCCGTTCAGCCCCACTGCCTGTGGGGAATCCCCCCCCACCCCTGGAGCATTTAATCCTGAGCCGCCTCCCTCCTCCGCAATCCCGTAGGGTCCGCTCAATCATCATGCAGCAGGAGAAGGCCCAAGACCGGGAGCGGCTGCTGCTGAAGTTCATCAAGATCATGAAGGTCAGCGCTGCACCCCGGCGTGTGCCGGGGGAGAGGCGGGAGGTGCCGGGGTCCGATGGTGCCCGACCTGGGCCCGAGGCCTTGCCGGGCAGCAAGCAGGATGCGACGGGGCCGGGGAGGATGGGCCCGGGCCCCTGCCTGGACGGGGCCCGCAGCAGGCGCTCTCCTGGCCACCCTCCATGCTGGCCCGTGGGCGTGGCGGCCCTCCGGCAGGCCGCCCCAGGAGTCGGGCCGAGGCGCCCACGGCTCAGTCCGCCTCCCTCCTCTCCCCTCTGCAGCACTTAAGGAAGCTGAACAACTTCAACTCCTACCTGGCCATCCTTTCCGCACTCGATTCGGCACCGATTCGTCGGCTGGAGTGGCAGAAACAGACATCGGAGGTATCGCTGCTTTAAAACAGGGACCCCACCGCTCACAGGTTCAGGCTGGAGGGAAAGCAGCCCAAATCCAAAGCCACCTTCGGAAAAACCGTCGCAGGAGCAGTCAGAAAGCCATCCCTGCCTCTCCGTCGCCCCCGCCCACGTGCACAAGGAGAGTTAGCGTCCGTATTTGTATCGGGTCCAGAAAGCTCACTGTAACCCAGCGAGCTGTGGCTGCTCCTATTTAAAAAAAAAATCCTGTACTGCATTTCCGTGAGCCTTCCAGCAAGCTTTGGTTGTGGGGGAGAAGAAAGACACGATGTGTGAACGGCAGGCGTGCTGCGGGGCTCTCTTGGGCGCCCGCTTTCCTCTGCTGCTCCCTCCCGCCCTCGTCAGGAGGAGCAGGCACGAGCGAGCGGCTGGAGGTGGTGGGCTCCGCTTTCTCTTGTCTCCTGGCACCTGCCGTTCACCCTCCCCGGGACGGGAGAGGGCGAGCGAGCAAGCGAGTGGGGAACAGGCAGCGGGCTCACGGGTGTGAGCAGCCGCTGTCGCACGAGCCTTGGCAGGCGCCCTGCCGGGCAGAGCCACAGCCTTGCCTTCCGAAGCAGGCTGGGCAGTTCATCTGGCTGTTGTGAAGGCTCCAGAGCCTTCTGCAGTGGCTTGTTGCTCGGTGAGTCAAGGGCAGTCAGGGGGCCGGCGCAGTCCAAGCTCCCATAGTGGAGTCGGGGGCCGCCGGCATGTCGGGGGCTGCTGCTGTCTCCACAATCATGAGGACTAGTCGGCTGCTTGTTTGGGAAAATTAAAAGTGAGACTCCTGGGGTGGCAAGGTCCTGTACCAGGCAGTGGAATGCAGGCATCTGCAGCTTCGCGCGTTCAGACGTGAAGATCCCTCCAAACCGACTCGATCGGGTGAGCCTCCAAGGGGCTACTGTGCTTCTGTAGTCAATGCCCCACACCCTGTTTGTCTCCCGCCAGGGCCTTGCGGAGTACTGCACGCTGATCGACAGCTCTTCCTCGTTCCGGGCGTACCGAGCGGCTCTCTCAGAGGTGGAGCCCCCGTGCATACCTTACTTGTGAGTAACTGCCCCCAAACTCCACACCTCATTCTCGTCCTGGAACCATGGAGCTAATAGGGGGTTTTATAGGGCATCTGGCCAGCTTCTCCCCGCCTGCTCAGTGCTGGCGACCTAAAACTTCGGGGCATCTCAAACAGCTGGGTGTCCTCCTCCCTCTTGAAGACCCCGGCGAGAGGTCAGATCTACCCCACCTGCAGGAAGGCAAGAGAAAGGAAGAGACCCAAAGAGGTACAGAACAGGCTCACAGAACCTTCTCTGGATAGGAGGTTTCTTGGCTAGCACCGCAAATTTGCCCCTTTTGCCATTAAAACGGTCCACCTAATATTCAAGCAAAGTCTTCCCTCCTGTAATTCAGCGCCATTCGATGTAGCCCTGCCTCCTTCGGTCAAACCGCCCTTCAGGGCTTCGAAGACGGCTGCCGTGTCCTCCTTTCTTTTGTCTTCACCAGGCCAAACTCTCCCACTCTCTTCAGCCCGTCGTTAAAATCCCCCCTGTTCTAGTGCCGCTCGAGGCTCGCTTTGCGCCTGGAGCCTGAAGGGGACTGTGCAGACCCAAGGGGGAGCTGGCCACAGCCGAAAGGCGGCTGTGAGATGTGCAGATAACATTTCAGGGGAGGGGGCCCTCTGGGGGGACAGGGAGAAACCCCAGACCATCCCATGACAGTGGCGTGGAAGACTGGGCAAGACCCTGACGGTCCGCGGGGAGGAGTGGCTGGGAAGGGAGCCGGAAGAAGGCAACACCTGCAGACACAAAACGGGGAAAGCACTCGCTCCTGGCCGGGAGAGCTGCATTTCTAGTTCACAGGGGGAAGTGGTTTAAATGGTCAAATATAACAGTTTAAACCACATGGGATGGAATCTGTTGCTGCCTCGGGCATCTGAGGAGAAATCTGGTAATGAATGCACCCGAGATTCCCCCACACACATGCACAAACTTGTGCGGAGAAGCAAAACTCCAGACAGGCCGATGAAGGCTGCACAGACTTAGCGAGCGAGGCTGCCCGCAAGGCACCATTCAGTCGCGGGCCTCCCTTGAGCGGGCCTGTCTCCGTTCATCTCTGCTGTTCTCTTCTGAGCCGGCTTCAGTGTGTCTCCGTCCAGAGAGCATGCTGCCGGTGTGACGTCCTGGCAAGGTGGGCCGAAGCTGAGGTGCTGCGTTGCACGGGGTGGGAACGCAGGCCCTGGCCACCCAGCCTAGAAGCGCACGTGCCGCTTTGCGGGCTCGTCACGCTGCGGGCTCGTACTCGGTTCGCCGCTTGCCGGTTCGGGCCCTGACTGGCGTCCTCCTCTTCCATTCCATGTCTCCGCCTCTCCAGGGGCCTGATATTACAAGACCTGACCTTCGTCCACCTGGGAAACCCAGACTACCTGGACGGCAAAGTCAACTTCTCCAAGCGCTGGCAGCAGTTTAACATCCTCGATAGCATGCGGTGCTTCCAGCAAGTGTGAGTGGCACCAGCTCTTCCTGCCGAGCTGCAGCACAGGGCAGTGCACTGCTCGTGGGGGCACTCTCGGGGCGCGTGCCCGGGCTCTCTTCCTAGTACCTTTCTAGTTGTCCTTCACCCTCCAAGCTAGCACCTTGCCCAGCTGGTCGCCCAAAGGCTTGCAGGGAACAGGTCTCACGAAGGAAAACCTGGGATCATTCGATGCCTTAAGGGATGGGGCCAGCCGCGGCAGAGGCCCTCCAAGGTGTCCCCCAGCCCCCTGTAGACCCTCGGAGAACGCTCTGAGCAACCCTCTCCCATCTTCTGCCGGGGTGCCGAGCCACTCCGTCACTTCTCCGCCTGGAAAAGTTAGGAGGTGGTTTGTCCTTTCCAGCCATTTCTTTGCATAGACCCCAGAATTGTGCGTTATCCTGCAAAGAACTCCCGGTCAAATGCTCTTTCTTGCCAGTGCTCTCGGACAGGTACGCAGGGCCTTCCGCTGCTGAAAGGGCAGCCGGGCCTCAGTCGCACAGGGACAGCTCCTCCCAGCCCCGCCTGCGGACAGCGGGGCAGGGCTGCGGGAGGCTCCTGGGAAATCCTGGGAGGACCCCCCAGGGGACACCCGCAGCACTTTCTTCCCTGGGTCTTGGGAGAGTCTCAGATTTCTCATTCCGTCCTGCTTTTAGACCATTTTGCGGGGCCCTCATTGAAGCACCTACTTGTCTGCTGCTTGCAGATGTCTGTGCACCAGTTTAACTATTTGCAAATGCTGCATCACCCACAAATCCTGGTCTGTTTTATCACTGTGGGACAGCCTGGTTTGTCGCCGTCTTAGCAAGATGAGTCAAAAAGTCTAGAACCTCATAGAACTGCAAATGGGCAAGATGCCCCCTTTCCGGGGAGTGTGGAATTTGGCAGGGCTTTTCCGTCCATCGGGAGGAGGCCCCCCGAAGACTGGTCCTGCCAGAACAGGGGAGTTCCTCAGGGAACTGGCTTCCAGTGGCGTCGTCTCCCTTCATCCCCCAAAGTTAGGTTGCAGTCCTACCTCCACAGGCCTGGGAATAAGCTGGGAGGGTCCAGCAACATTGGGCCAACGAGAAACAAGGCAGCGCTGCACAGTTGACACGACTCGTGGAATCCAGCTTTTCTTAGCATCAGGCTTTTCTTGTGTGGCTGCCAAGTTCCTCCATCTGTTTTCCCGTTTTAAAATTTGTGGCCAGAAAGTCAGGTGATCCCAAGAGAACTGGGGCGCGCCTGCCATCTTGGCTGCTGGGTTCCCAGGAGCACGGTGTTGCCCGTTCTAATATGCACTCTGTCGGTGCGTCTCTCTCTCTCTCTCTCTCTCTCTCTCTCTCTCTCTCTCTCCCCCTCTTGCAGGCATTATGACATCAAACGGAACGACGATATCATCTCGTTCTTCAACGATTTCAGTGACCATCTGGCCGAGGAGGCCCTGTGGGAACTCTCTCTGAAGATCAAACCTCGAAACATTACGAGGCGAAAGACAGACAGGGAAGAGAAGACCTAGGGGGGCGTGCAGCGGCTGTGGGCATCAAGGATTCCTGGCTGCTTGGGCAGCCACCAGACTGGGACCTGCAACTGGCCAATGCCCTTCCCGGACCAGCCCCGGGGGTCGGGCTGCCTCGCGGCGAGGCTGCGGCCGTTGGAAGGGCTGCCTTCGCATCCGGCTGTGGGAGAAGGCCACCGAGGGTGCCGCCGCCGCCGCTTCTGTGTGCCATACATCAGCCTCGTGGTCTGGAATGAGAGCGCCGAAGACGGGTGGATGGGGGCCCGCCTGTTCCCAGTTTGCCAAATCCGAAGTTTTACTCGCACTCTGTGAGACAGAGGAGGAGACCCTTGCTTCTGCCTCTGGGCGCTCGAGCAGAGGAGAGAGAAGCGAAGCGGCTTCATCCTGGCTTGAGTCGCATCCTGCTCACGCATAGCCCATGGAACACAGAAGGGAAAGGGGGTGGTCCCCAAGGAGGGGCCTCTCTTTTACATCCCCCAGGACAGCCGTCTCGGATTATCTTTCCACACAAGAGCACCAGGGAAATGGGGACGAGAGGGGAAGACGCCGTGCTCTCCCCTGGAAAGGTTCTGTTTCCGGGAACATGTGCGCCACGCATCATCAAGGAGGAAAAGTGACGAGAGGCTGCCGAACCCCAGCTCTGTGCCCCCTCCCCTCAATCCGCCTAGACCTCCTTCAGCTCAGCTGGGAATCTCTCTCCCCTTAGACTTGGAAATCTGGGATTGCCGAGGATCGGTGGCATCTGCTCTGCATCCTCTCTCCGGGAATGCGGACGCCTGTAATGTAGTGATGGTACTAGTTGTAACACAGTAAATATGTAGAAAACGAGGCCACCTGTAAATAGGACTCTCTAGGCATCACTGGTCTCTTTTGTTTTGATGCATGTCTGAATTGCCCATGTTTTTTTTAAAAGAGGAGAAACTTAAAAATGCAAAGCAATGTGTATAGGAAAAGAGAGCTCTGCCGTCTGAGGATGTCATGGGGGTGTCAGGAGGAAGGAGCCGTGAGTGGCGCCCGCAAAGTCAAGCGGGGCTGGGAGCACCCCTCCCGCCCAGCCGCAGAGGGCCAGCAGTCAGCCGGGATTCTCTCTGTGCAGCCAGGACTTCCTGTCTTTGCCACTGCTCCCAACCAGCTCCTGGAGGCTTTCGGAGGAGAACTTCCCGGCGTGGCGCGTCAGGCGGTCCGTTTCCCTTTCTGTCACCTGCGGTGGCACTCAGAGCCTGCCATCGGGGGCGGGCGGCTTAGCCTTGTCTCGGAAGCCGCCCGCCTCTCCTGAGCAGAGTCGCCCTGGACCAGCCGCGTTAGGATTTTCAGCAGGAAAGGAAGGTGGAAACGAGCATTTCCTCTCCCTCTTCCATGATCCTTGCGGGCGGCTGTCGAAACCCTTTCCAGACATCTTCCCCAGTTCTGTCTGCTGCCGCATCTCGTGCTACAAAAGTCTTCCACAAACGCCTTGTTGGATACAGCCGTTCGGAAAAGGGGGCCGCATCCCCATCTGCCATAGCCTCTGCTCGCCTCACGCCTTGCGTTTCTTGGCAGTGCCGGGATCCCGCCCGCTCCTCCTCTCCCCTCCCCGCGGGCCTCCTGCACATCTGAGCTCGGGGCGAGCCCGGCGTTCCCATGACACGCCGAGCCGACTGGCCAGACTACCAGGTGCGTGGCCCTCGTTTGCCAGAGAGGAGGTGCGGTTCCGGAGACCCCTCATTGCCCGAGTTCCCTACCCTCTCCCTGCAGGGAACTGGTCTTTGGCCATGATCCACCAGAGTCTCCCGCTTTTGCAAAATGCCGGGCTGCCTCCAGGAAGAGTGCGCGTCCGCCGGCATCTTTGCATTAAGGAACGGTGCAGTGCGGAGACCTGAGGGGGGCACACAGGCCGCCGCGTATCGACCAGGCTTCCTTGCGCGTCCAGTAAAAAGCCACGGTTTGGCCTTTCTCCCGCCGTCTCCATGGAATCGGCCCTTTTCCTCCTAGCAGCTCCTCGGTTCCTTTCCAGGTGTGCGCCTCTTCACTCGCTTCGTGTGCTCTAGCTGCTTGCTTTTTGGGTGCCTGGCCTGGGCGGGACCACTGCTCCTGCATAGCTTAGCTGGTGAGGGGATCTTGGGTGTTGTAGTCCAGCCTGGTGCAATCCTAGGCCTCCTTAGGCAAAGCCAAGGGGCGTGCAGGGCCTTGCGGGCGGGCACTTTAGCTGCCTGAAGAGGCACGGGGTTGCCAGTTTAAAAGCCCGGCTGCCTCCTGCTGCCAAGATGCCCCCCCCCCCCAGCATTTCTTCTCCTGGCTTCGGCCTCTGGGGCTGTCCTGATGCAGGGCAGCTCCCGAAGGGGCAGGTGTGCCCTGCTGTTCTCCAGTCCCCCAAAGTCCGGGTGCACACGCCTTGGGGAGGGGGTCAGATGCGCCCGCCAAGGACTCCCTGTGGCCAACACCCTTCCCTGGCCCCCCAGCCAGCCCGCATTTTGTGGTTTCTCAGCCCCCAAGCTGAGAAAGGGTTGCAACGCCTCTCTCAGCGCTTTAAGCTAAAGCAGGCAGGAATTGTGGGGGTGGGGGCATCCCTTTGGCCTCCATTTCCACCAGCTTGTGAGCATTTCTCTGAGGCGGAGCTGGGCCTCCAGTCTCCCCCCTCCCGTGGAGGGGCTTCCGTGGTTCCTGGATTTGCTGGCTGCGAGGCCCTGGCAGAATTGGCCCGTTGCTCAGCGCCTGCCCTGCACGGACAGAGGGCCAAGGGGGCCCAGAGGGCTGCACACAGGTAGGATTCTGCCAGGAGCACTTCCGTGCTTCCTTACTAGGAAAACGGGCTTAGCCGTCGGTGTTGCTGGCTTGCGACTCTTGCGCAGTTAAAACAGTGGCCAGTTTTTTGAAATGGTGCTAGAACAGCCTCACCTAGCCTGATGCCCTCCACTGGCTGTGCTGGCTGGGGCTGATAGGAGGTGTAGTCGATCATGGGCGGCGGAGGGCACCCAGATTGGGGAATGGCATGCTAGAGAACCGTAGCCTGTGAAAAGCCACTGCGTTCCCCTGAGCTGCTCTCTCTCTCGCAAAGAGGAGGTTAAATTGGAGTTGCCCTCACTGCCTCCTGCAGCAAGTTAGATCCTGGATGCCTCCTGCTGGAAACACATAGAAACAGAGCGAGTCAGAAAGGGCCTCCCGGGCCATCTAGTCTGACCCCCGGCTCAGAGACAAACACGAGACAAGTTTCACGCCCCTCTGAAACTGTCCAAGGCCGCTTGACTTTGCCGCCCTGCCAGCTGCTCTTCTCCATTCCGACACTGTATTTATGGCCACCCACCACCCTCCACTTGCAAAAATGGGAAGGAAGCCTGGCCTGTTACTTTTTTATATTAAAGGGAAAGAAACAGCGATGAAAATAAATGCGGTGAAAGAACCCGGCTTCGAATGCTCATCGTGCTTGTGGTGCATGTCTGAGTCGCCAGGACTGAACTGACCAGCAGGCCCAGTTCCTCTGTGACCTCCTGTTTCCTGACAGCGGGTGCAGGGCCTCGGACCTGGGACCCCGACGTAGGGAGAGTGTGGCCCCCTCCGGCCCTCACAGCCCAGCCTTCCGTCCCCGAGCCACTGACGCTTTCCCGCTTTATTCGGAAAGGCTTCGCCTAACTTAGTTCCAGGTGGGAAGAGATTTCAGCTGCGTGTTGGTGTAGAAAGGGCCACTCCTTTGGCCTCCGGTTCCTCTGCCCACTGCTCAAGGCAGAGCTGCTCTGAAGTCCAGGCCGGCCCTGAGGTGCCGGTCTCCATTAATCGGGCGGCCTGCTGGGGGGAGGGCAGTGGCCCCCGAAGGGCCAGAGGACGGCCCCGCCACAGGCCCCCCGGGGCAAGGCGATGCTTCCCCTTTGTGTTGGGGAGCAATGTGCTAGGAGTTCCGGGCAAGGGCTGGCTTGCCCTCGGTGAGGGCGGCCCCTTGCAATCCTGGGCTGGAGCCTCCACGGCCCTCCCGGAGCCTACATCGCCGCCGATTCTGCGTCAAAATAGATCAGCATATGCAAATTCTCTGCGGAAAAGTGCGTCCCGGCTCAGCTGTCATCCGGGTTGGAGAGCTCCCTGCCCTCTGCTTTTGCTCCTGTGGAGGAAGGAGGAGAGGAGCCGCTGGCCCCTGGAGGCAGAAAGGAGACAGGTGAGGGAAGAGCACAGGTGTCGGCACAGGGAGAATTTCCTCCACACACCCTCCCGCTGGGCTTGTAAGATCGGTCCTCGCCCAGCCACTGATATTTGTACTCACAGTTAATGGGCGATAAAAGGGCGCTGCTATTACTAGCACTGATGCTATTTGCTTTTACAAACCGGGACTGCCCATTAATATGTGGACATTCGGGTCCCGTGCTGGGTCCTGTGTGGACACAGAGTGGGAGGATCCAGTTGCTCCACTCCCAGGGAGTCTCTTCAGCATCCTCCCCTCTTGCACAGGTGACCTAAATGGAGAAGGCCGAGGAGAGGCAGGGACCGCGTGGTTCTTGAGCGGCAGATGCCCCTGGAAAAGGGGCAGGTGCCGTCACTGGCGCTTGGAGGGGGAACCTTGGGAAGAATTTGGGACCGGCTTGGCTTGGATGAAGAGGCGCCCCTGGGTTGGGGCAGTATGGACGGCCGTTTGGGCACGCATCAAACCAGAGCTGTGCATGCTTCCTCTCCCACATAATAAATGTGGCACTCGGCACAGTGGCCTCCTGGGAAAGGATGGCGAGGGGCAAAGGGGACTGCCTTGTAGTGACCCTGCTCCTGGTCGTCAAAGCAGACTGCCACTCTGGCCTCAAGCAGGGCATTTTCTGGACCTGTTGAAGCTGGGACCGGCAGCATGCACCGCCTGTCTCCGCCAGCGAGAGGACAGCCTTGAGAGGCAAAGTAACATCCTAGTCGTCCTTGTTTCAGCAAAGGGCCAGTTGTACTGGAGCCTCATGCCAAGCTGGGCCTGGGTTTCCTGCTGGCTCTGATGGCAGAGGGCCTCGGGTTTCTCCGGCCCTCTCAGAGATGCCAAGCGGGTGAGGGGTGCCCCTTCCTGGAGCCACGAGAGAGAATGCACAAGAGGAGGAGACCTGTTGAGCCTGGGCTCTCATCTGCACCCACACCTGAAAACTTCTTTGAGGAAAGCTTGCCTCCTGCTGACCCAGCCTGGAAGTGCATCCAAATTCTGCGGCACTGGCTCCTCTTGGCAATCCATAACGCATATATTCTGTGCGTGTGCGTGCGCCTTTAGTCCCCCCCGTTGTGCCATCAATGTAATTAAGATTTTAAGACCAACTGGAAATAGCACGGCAGAAATCGGGTTGTCTTGTGTGCCAGGTGAAACATTTTCATCATAGTCGTCATTTAAAAAAAAAAAAAGGTAAGAGACAATGGTATTTACAAGCTCAATTTTATTAATAAGCATTTAAAAAAACTTCTTACAGGTTCTGGGGGAGCTCAGCCTGAATTGTGAGCTTTGCATCCAGCCCATTCTCAAGTCTGGCGCCCACCCCGTCCCCCTGGGGGGCCGCGCACCGTTCCAGGCCAGCCGCAGGAGGAAGGAGAGCATTCCCCGGTGGCTGGCTGTGCAGAGCATGGGGCTGCCCGCCTGAGCCTCTTCCCTCTCTCCTGCCCGTCCATGGCTCCGGGGCAGGCCCTCCTCGCAACCAGCCCCCTTGCAGGCTGGTGCTGGCCTCCAATTCTGAGCTAAAATACAGTGGCATCACGTCACGAGAGCCTAGAACCTTCTGAATGACAAGTACCTGCACGTACCATTTCCTTGAACCTCAAAATAGCGAAGCAAAAATTGGAGGTCAGTTAATATTATTATTATTATTATATTATTATTATTATTATTATTATTATTATTATTATTATTATTATTACATTTCTATGCCGCCCCT